ATAGATACACAATCAGGGTTCCGTCCGGCGCATAGCTGTACAACAGCATTGCTGGGAGTGGTGGATGATGTATTGTGCAGTGCTGACAAAGGTAACCTGACTGCCTTGGTGCTCTTAGATTATACGAAGGCATTTGACAGGATACATCATGACCTACTCTTAGCCATGCTCCACTTTTACGGATTCTCGGCCGATGCAGAGTCTCTAATGCGAAGCTACTTCAGCGATCGACAACAGCAGGTAATGCTGAATGATAAGTACTCTGCGCCATTGAAAGTGACCATTGGTGTTCCTCTGGGCTCCATTCTGGGTCCGCTAATGTTCATTATTTACACCTCTAATCTATACTTCAGTCTTCACTCTTGTAAAGCTCATTTTTATGCAGATGATACACAAGTGTACTTATCATTTCCTCCAGCTCAAACATTGCCTGCTGTTGATCTGATAAATAAAGACCTTGATCGTCTCACTAAAGCTTCTCGAAATATATGCTTAGACTTGAATCCGGCTAAAAGTACAGTCATGTTATTCGGGCCAAAAAATTGGAGAAACCATTGTGAACCTCTGGTGAAAATAAACCTCGATAACAATACTTTAGAAATAAGCTCGATAGCGCGTAATTTAGGCTTATACCTTGACAAAAACTTGAGGTTTGAGGAACATGTTAACAAGTGCTCCAGAAGGGCGTATTCTAATTTAAAGACGATATACGGTCAAAAATCTTACATCAACCAAAAAACTAAAGTCATACTGTGCAATTCTCTTGTTTTGTCGCATTTTAACTTCTGTGATGTCGTCTATGACAAATGTCTAACTAAATTCACTTCAGATAAAATACAACGCGTGCAAAATTCTTGTCTGAGACTTATTTTTGGTTTGAGTAAATTCGATTCAGTGTCAGCAAAGCTTACTGATGCTGGCTGGCTGAACATGAAGCAACGCAGGCTGCTTCACAGCCTCGTACAATACCATAAGATTATTATACAAAAACTACCTTCCTACTTACACGAAAAAATTCATTTCCGTTACTTAGCTCACAATCGCAATACCCGCAACAAAACTAAACTGACACCGCCTTTTCATTCTACCACCTTATTCGAAAGATCTTTTTCGTATAATATCAGCAAACTTTATAATAATATCCCGCGAGAGTATACTTCTCTTTCTATTGATTTGTTTAAAAAACGTATACGCTGCTACATTGCAGGGAATTGCATGGTATGACTTTGGAGGCATTATGTATTTTTATAGTACCATTTTACAAATTAGCCGCTAGGGTCCATTCTCTGATACTGCTTATACATGTGTGTATGTATATGTGGGTATATATGTGTATATATGTATATGTATGTATATGTATGTGTATATATGTATATGCTCTTTATCTCATTTTTATATATATGCTTACCTTATTATGATGTAAACCTAAAACCAGGGGTTAAGTGGAAGAGCGGATAAGCCGAACTTCGCCCCTCCCACTATATGTTCTTATAAGACTGGTTTTGCAACTTGTTTTGTATTTTCTTTGGTGGGAATAAAGACATTATTATTATTATTATTATTATTATTAACGTCTACTTTAAGCTTTAAATCAATAAATCTTTAAAACTACTGAACTGAAGCTCATGTATTTTACATCATCATAAAGGGAATTGAAAAACCTTTAAGATAAGGTATCACTCGACCCCCCTTTCCATTTAAGATTTTAGGGTTGGTGTCACCCCTGCCCAGGGGGCTGCACGTGCTGCCAGTAAATGCGTCTGTTTCGTTTTCGATGCGCAACCCTGTATATAGAGCATCGTCCACTTTTTGATATTCCCCATTTTTCATAGTTTTCCGTGCCGGCTGCGATGATGTCAGAACACTAGACCACTTTTCAATTTTCCCGCGTTGTTTTTTCCATTCTGAAACGGTACTCACGCCCACACCCAAATCACTTGCACGTTTAAGCAAATCCTGTCTAAACACCTGATTGCCTCAAGTTTCTGTTCTATGGTAATAACAGCGCGTTTACGGTTAGTTTTAAGCATCCCACAAACCGGCGCGAAATATTCGCTTTGGCTGCGAAAATTTCGCGGCGATGAATTCGCGATCAGATTAAAACGCGGCGGTTTACGGACAGGCTCAGACTTGTGCGAAGCGAATGCGATTGTCCCAGCGTTTTTATCGCGGCGTATTTCAGTTCGCCTTTGACCGCGTTTTTGACGCCGTTCTTCAAAAATTCGCAATGGCAAAAACGGAATTATTGATAGAAATAGTGAAAAAATATCCTTCTTTGTATGATTTGTCGAACGATGAATACAGGAATGTGAGAAAGAAAGACAAGATTTAGGATGGAAATAGGAAAAGAATTAAATACAAATGGTATGTACCTAATATTTTTTATTAACTTGTTAAATAATTTACAGTCTACACAAATGTGAAAACGAACATTCTATATATTGGGCATAGGCATATCAGAATTAAAATAATTTACGAATTTGTCACGAGTAGAAAATGCTAGCCTTGCTGCCCGCCGAGGATCATTTACTATATCAGTAAAAGCTCCAAGCACGGGTTCTGGGGGATCTAAGAATTGAAAATATTTGTCATCGCCACTTTTACTTCGTAAAAAATTGTGTAAAACACATGCCGTACGTACAATTAGAATAGTAGTATCTACTTTAGTTTCTAATGGCCTGTAAAATATTCGCCATTTTTGAGACAAAATACCAAACGCATTTTCCTCGACCCTTCTAGCTCGACAAAGTCTTACATTGTATTTCTCTTTTCTGACGTCTGTTAAAGTCTGCTTATAAGGAAATGGTCTCATAAGGTATGGTTTTAAAGCAAATGCTTCATCACCAATTAAGGCGTACGAGCAGATTTCATTTTGCCCAGGGAGAAATCTAGGTGCAGGGACACTCATTAAATTTTGTTCAAATCGTTTTCCCATGTTTGAGGTTTCGAAAATACCCCCATCACTATTTTTTCCGAAACCACCAATATCAACACATATAAATTTATAGTCCGGGCCAACAATGGCCATAAGTACTATTGAATATTTATGTAAATAGCACCAGTAATTGGAGCCACTGTTGTTAGGTCTCTTGATTGTTACATGTTTACCGTCCACGCTGCCAATGCAATTGGGAAATCCCGCTCTATTTTCAAATTCTTCAGCCCATTTTTTCCATATATTCTCTGTTGGTTCTGGTAAATATATATGCTCCATATGTCTGCATATCGCTTCACAGACTTCGGTTACGATTGCACTCACTGTTGTAAAGCCAACTCGAAAGCTATGCCCAATGGTATAGAAGGTGTCACCAGTGGCAAGGAATCTATAAAAAAAATCGTTTTTAGGTGATGAAGTAAAAAAACGGTGGAAGAATATCAGAGACACATTTGCAAAATATATAAAATCTACCAAACCAAAGACCGGCCAAGCAGTGGGCAACATAAAAAAATGGCAGTGGGCTGACTACATGGAATTTTTCCGTCCTTTTTTGGCATTTGCCAAAACGTCGTCTAATGTGAAAGATATTGACGCCATACATTATGAGACTGCCGAATTTAACTGAAATATATATCAGGAAAGGGCTGGAAATGTAGAAACCGAAAATTTGGAAGACCGCGGCCATGGAGAAGATGAAAATGCTGATGTAGATGCAGAAGATGCACAGAACGCCTCGGCAACACAGACAGCACCACCTTCATTGAACACTACAGCAGTGACTACTCCAGGGCACACCTTTCCGCAGACTGCAACTACACCAAAATATAAAACGAGCAGAAAACGCTATGAACCACCATCTTCGTCTGTACAACAGCTCATTAATTATTTTGAAGGTAAAAAACCTAAAAAAGAGAACGAGGCCATTGATTCACTTTTCTTGGCACATGCACAGACTGTGAAAACACTTCCCTTAAAGCGTCAAGCCCGAATAAAACTAAAATAGCCGAATTAATAGCGCACGAAGAATTTGAACATATTGAAGAAATGTCTTCAGCGTCTACCCAGAATTCTGCAAGTATGTATGATAATAGTATGTCGTCCTTCCCAAGCGGCACTGGGTTTACTCCAATAATATACCCAACAGAGGAGGCAAATTCTGCCTCGAATTAGTCCAATTATTACAATAAAATATTTATTTCACGATCCCTGAAGTTTTCGTATTCGATAAGCCTACTTATTTTAATACATATATTTTTTTTACCTGAGTGTAATAGCAAGTCGTTCTTCTGGCGAAATAGCTTCACGATAATTTGTGTCAGATTTTCGTATTTCATCTTTCACCAAGTTCAATATTTCATCGAAACACTCTGGAGTCATTCTAAAATATACGTAAAAGCGCTGTTCATCCAGCCGAAGTTGTGGCATCAAGGTATGGTATTCCCCAAATTTATTTCGTTCCAAGTTAATATCATGTACCCACTTCCTTCGTTTCCTAAACAAAATTGAAAATATTTGTTTTATGTACTTCGTTAAACTTAATACATACCCAACTATCAAATGGCGTTAAATAAACATAACTTACCGTGCATTTTGTTCCTCTTCTAAAGCAAGAAATAGAAGTGCCTCCTCTTCTTCTGAAGACGAGCTGATTGCAAAAGGCAAAAATAAAATGTACGCAACCGGTCGAAACCTTCACGTTCGCGGAGCGAATAAGACGCTTTGGTATGAATAAACAGGCGAAACAGATTGCGAATTTCGCTCTGAATTTCGTTGCGAATACTTCGCCGCGATTATTTCGCGCCGGTTTGTGGGATGCTTTATGCTGCTCCTTCTTAGCGATTATGAACCTGCCTGAAACAAACATACACGCACGCATACCAGTGCATTCCGCAAACGCGCTTGCGGAATCACCGGCAGCGAATCTAACGACGCAAACGCAGAAACGGGAACCACCGGCGGCTATTTCGGATCATGCGCCGATTTCCAGAACAACTTCGGATAAAATGGAGAAATCATTGTTTCTGATAATCAAGGTTCTACTGTAATTCCAATTTTCTCCCAGGTAATACCCGACAACCTGCCTCTACCGCAACTGCTCACGCTGCCGAGCAATGCGACCGCCATCAGGAACGACATCACAGACTCGTTCCAGTGCGAAGGTCGAGACTACGGATACTACGCGGATGTGGACAATGACTGTCAACTGTTCCACGTGTGTCTGCCAGTCACGTACGCGGACGGACGTAACCAGACCTTCCGGTGGAGCTTCATATGTCCGGAGGAGACCGTCTTCAACCAGGTAAGTAACCAATGCTCGTCAGGGTGTCCCAGCCAATTTTTGTTCGATAAGCATATCCTCTAATTTTTTTCCATTTGACTCTTAACAACTCAAATAATATACAGGGTGTCCCAGAAGTCGACGTCAAGCCGAAACCGGGTGATAGGCAAAGTCATAACAGCTATTGAAAATTATAGGTCTTTGAAAAAAATATAGAAATTTCACACCCTACGGCAGTCTGTCAACTCCTGTTACTACAAATATTAACTTTTTTGGATTTTATTTTTACAATATAATGATGAATAATGCATCTTCAAACTGGTGTCTCAACCTTACTGCCAACTTTTCTCGTTCAGGAAAAATTGCCACTTATTTCCCAACCAAGTATTCCAAAGTAAAACCTTGCTCAACTTTAACTGGCTGTACTGGAAAAAAATGTACTACGAGAGTTTGGCAAGTAACCTTAAAAGTTGGCGCATTTAGTAAGGGTTGCAAAATGGTACAACACTTAGAAGATTACTCGTTAACTTATGCACAATTTTTATTTGAAGAAGAACTGATGAAAGTTTTTCAAAATTTCCTAATTAAACAGCGATTATGAAAACGCACAAGGACCCTTAAGGATAACTGTTTGCACAACAGTGGGCGTCAAAATGCTGCTGATGATGATTTACCTTTACAGCAAATGCTCAAACTGTTTTCCTTCAGCCGCAATACACGCTCGACATCTTCTTAAAAAAGATCGGGTTATTAAACGAGCGAATCCACGGTTATTAACAAACTCAGCTGCTTCCAATAGTCTTTGCCGTAGCTCAGCTACATTTTGAATCGGCTTGAAATACACTTTTTCTTTTACAGTTCCCCAGTAAAAAAAATCTAGCGGATTCAAATCTGGTGACCGGGATGGCCACGGTATTGTACCAGACCGCCATATCCATCTGCCTGGAAAGTTTTGATCGAGATACTCTCTCACTGAGAGTGCATAGTACGCTGGGCAGCCATCATGCTGAAACCACATGCCCCTGTAAATACTCAGTATTTAATACGTTAATTTTCGGACGAAGCATGGGATGGGATGGACCCATTAACTCGCATAATCTTCACGTTTATGCAGACAAAAATCCTCATGCAATAATACACACCTGCCACCAAGTACAATTTCAAATTAATTTATGAGCAGGAATAATTGGATAATATTTAATAGTACTAGTTGAGTTACTATCTAGACTAAATGGCCAAAGGTATTTACAATTGCTTGAAGAACAATTACCTACTCTGCTGGAAGGTCTTCCATTACAAACACGCATGAATATGTGGTTTATGCACGACGGCGCTCCACCTCATTTTAATAACAAGTTAGAGAGCACCTAAATAGAGTTTATCTAGACCAGTGGATAGGCCAATCAGGCCCAGTATCGTGGCCGGCAAGATCACCAGATTTAAATCCTATGGATTTCTTCTTCTGAGGCGATTTAAAACGACGCGTTTACAATACGCCAGTGGAAACTGTAGATGAATTTCGACAAAGAATTGTCCACCATAGCCAGGAAATGAAAAATAACATCAAAATGCCTTGAAGAGTGCAGCAAGGATTAGTTCAACGAGCTCGAGAGTGTGTTAGGCAAGATGGTGCTCACTTTGAACAATTTTGTAGCTTTATATCCGTTTATCAGTTTTGTTGACATTTTTTGTTATTGTTAAAAACCATAGCAACGCTACTCAGATATTATCCAAAGCAACTTGATTATTATGTTATAAAAATGTTTTAACCTTTCGCAGAGATGTATAAATAGTGACTGTATAGAGAGAGCTAAGATAGTAGCTTTACTTCCTACACCATATGGCAAGAGCAAATAATGGTCGCCATATGCATAGGCGTCACTCAAAGCGTTTAAAAAGCGTAGAGTGATATCTGCATTGATCTGGGAATGCCTTCAAGAACTGAACACTAGGGTGAAAGTTCTAGTTTTCAAACGTATTAACGAAGTAAAACCATTGTCGTGGTTAAACTTCCTTAAGAGCCATACCGTTGCGGGGTCATCATCCGCGCTTAAACCATGTACTTTTTGCAATTGGTATGAATGGAGCAGTTGCTCTTGAAAATAGTATTTACTGTACATTTGGAAACTCGAGCTAAATTCCTAACCCCAACAGTTCAAAGATATCATCTAAACCATTTTCTTCAACTACAGCTATACGTACAGTTCTGGGAGCTCGACTATGTCGGCCCATATTTTGAGAAAAACTCCCTAAATCCAAATGGTTTTTACCACTCAAAATAACGCTATAATCATTTCTTACCAGTTTCTCGTAACCGCTTTGAATTAGGCAGGTGTCTATTAGGGAATCTGTCAACGTACATTACATGTTGCCAATCCGTACATTAAATGCATATCAGAATAATCATCAAACGTATACTCCATAATGTTTAACAACTTATTGTCAACTAAAATTATTCATGTTATATTCATTATTCAATTTAAAACAATATTATAACAAACATTAGAAACCATAGCAACGCTACTCAAATATTGTTCAAAACAACTTGATTATCATGTTATAAAAACGTTTTATCATCATGGTAAAAATAATGCATTGGAACTTTTAAAAACAAATATCTCGAAAATCATCAGCTTCAGACACTTCTAACAAGTAAACCTTTTTTGTTGTGGAAATACGAGAAAATAAGATTTTTCGGTTAGTTGTTGTATACAGGGCAGCACAAAAAAGTTCTGATACGTTATTTAACGAAATAGTGCTGTAAGTGGAGCCCTCTAGAAATTTGGTCATTAAAAATAAAGGATTTGTTTTATTTTATTTATAATAATCCATTCACTGGCTGAACAGAGTGATCCAATTAACAGGCAGGGAAAAAACAAAAAATAATACAAAACAAAACTCTAAATAGTACATGATAAAAAAGATATAAATATAAATTATGAGATTGTTAAAAAACACCTCTTAAGATCGCTTTTGGTGGAACTAAAAATATCAAGTTCACTTACACTGTCACAAAGATTACATATAACATAAAAAGGCGAAAATAGCAATAAATTTGTCTGCGGAACAGGTAAATAAAATGAATTGTTACCACCATGAGAAGCACGCAAATCGGGAATGCGTACAGAGATCATGTCTAGAAGAAAAGGACTATCAACTGTTCCATTCAACAAATTACATAAAAATTTAGCAGCTAACAGATTCGCCCCTTCCCACTTCAGTTGGCCCACTACAAGATTTGTACCAAAATATGCTTTTATGAACTAAACATGAAACTATTTACTTTTAAAACAATTCATTTTTCAAAAACATTTTAGATACACTCTAGTCGTATAAAATACATATTTGAAATCACTTAGACCTATAACTAATAGAACATCTGAACAAATAAACAATGTGCGAATAAGTGCGCGAAGTTAACAAAGCAACAATTGAAAGATTACCATTGAGTAACATCACCTTTATCTTTTATTACGGCTGAAATTCTTTGGGGCATAGTGTTAACCAAGTTTTAGCAAAAATTGGTGTAAAACAATCCCATATTTCTTGAAGCTTTTGTCTCAGTTCGGTGATTGTACGAGCAGGATGTTGTCGTAGAACCTTTTTCATCTCGTGCCACAAAGTTTCAATAGGTGACAGATCTGGACTGCTAGAAACCCATTTCAAAAGTGGTACATTATTTTCTTCCATCCATTTTATAGCCTTTTTTGAGGTATGGCACGCTGCACCGTCTTGCTGAAACACAAAACCTTGGCCGGGTGTTAAACATTCTTCCATCAATGGTAAAATCGATTCTTCTAAAATTGCCAAATATTTGTTTGTATCCACATTTCCATCAATAAAATGAAGTTTTCCTACTCCTTTTGATGACATACTGCCCCAGACCATAACGGATGCTGGAAATTTCACTTTTCTCTTCAGACAGTCAACATGGAATGCTTACCACTTGCAACTACAGAACTGACTTTTCTCGGCGAGTTCCACAATTTAAGCATATGTTTCCAAGGTCATCCCTTCTACATCTCAAGGTCGTTCACTCCTACAAGGCCACACCCACTCAAGGTCGAGAGTGATCGAGGTCATATATGTTCAAGGTCACACTTCAAGGTCACTCTAAAACTCCAGGTCACCTTTCAAGGTCACACTTTTTTTTTGAAATAATTTATTTAAACACAATAATACAAAAGTATAACAGTTATAACAATAATTCCCTAATCAGTGTTTGCAAACACTGGCCCCGAGAATAACAAGACAATAATTAATATATATGAACTACAGGTACACTGCAATGTTGCTCATAATTTCAACAAATAAATTCATTAACATTTTTACAATCTTTCAATTCTCTAACAAAACTTCTATAGTTATTTAAATCTTTATACAATGAGGTAAATTATTAAATTTCTTAATTGCGTCTGTGATCGGATTTTTTAAACCTATGTTAGTTCTTGTGGAAATTTGATAAACATTATTTAGTGATCTTGTTTGGTGATCATGCACGTTATGGTAGAACCTAATATTTATGTTACTTTTTAGTAGATTATTTATGATTTTATAAACAAGTTTACATTGTTCCACCTCCAATAACACTCTTAATTTGTTTAAATTTAAATTTGAATAAAGTGTATTAGAACTTGTAAGCCAATCAAAATTAAACAATATTTTCAGAACTTTATTTTGTAAAACTTGAGCTTTATTAAAATTAACTTCACCGCACATACCCCATACTGGCAAGAGGTACCTAAATGTGTAAGAAAGAAGGCATTATAAATTTGAAATTTGCTTTTGTTGGACAAATAATCTCGACTCTTATATAAGGCAGATAGCATTGAAACTATTTTATCACAAATTCCATTTACGTGAAGTGACCAATTTAAACTTTCATCTATCAGTAATCCCAAATATTTAATACTTGACACTTTTTCTAGCGCTATATTATTTATGTTAATATTTAGATTATTGCTAACTATCTTATTTTTTTGTTTAAATATAATGTATTTTGTTTTTTCAATGTTAATTTTTAATCTATTCGAAAACAGCCATTTAAGATAACTATTCAGGTCATCATTAATAAGATTCGTTAAAGCAATTTCGTCTGTTCCAGTATATACCAGTACAGTGTCATCTGCAAAGGTAAAATATCTTCCCCTCAGATCGGCCAACTTGAGATTCAGTACATAAAGACTGTATAACAGAGGTCCAAGAACTGACCCCTGTGGTACTCCATAGGTGCTAGATAACCATTCACTATCAATGTCTCCAAGCTTTATGTACTGTTTTCTGTCATATAAATAAGACTTAATCAAGCTGTACAAAACACCTCTAAATCCCATTTTAAACAATTTATCTAAAAGAATGTCTACGCTTACTACGTCAAAAGCTTTTTTTAGGTCAATGAAAACAGCTACAACTATTTGTTGTTTATCTAGAGCCATTGAAATGTAGTCCACAAAATCAACAACCGCACTAAGTGTGCTACTGTTCGTTATAAAACCATATTGAAATTCATCAATCAATATATTGTGAGTAACAATGAAAGATAACATTCTTTTTTTATTAATTTTTCTATAATCTTAGAGAATACACACACCACTGAAATAGGCCTGTAATTGTTCATACATTTAATATCTCCCGACTTAAAAAGTGGGGTTATTTTAATTATTTCAATTCTGATGGAAATATTCCATTTTGTATAGTTTCATTGATTAATCGTTCTAAAACAGGTATTAAGTATTCTCCAAGATTATTTACATCCTTAACCGTGATACCGTCATATCCAGGTGCCGAGTTTAATTTTAGTTCTTTCACAACTTCCAACAACTCTTCTTTATTAGTCAATGTTATCGAAATAGAATCTTCGTTGTGAACCTCACCAACAGAAATAAACTCATTCAACTGCTGAATCTCTGCTTCCAAATTTTCAACAATTGATCCACCGACCCGAGAAAAGTATTTATTTAAATTGTTTGCAATATCAAGTTGAGTGTTAATAATGTTATTTTCAGTTACTAGTTGATAAATTCTTACTTTATACTCCTTATTTTTTATTAGGCTGTTTATAAAAGCCCATTGTTTCTTTACATTGTTTCCAGCTAAGCTCCATTTAGTTTGGAAATAACGGTTCTTCAAAGCACGTATTTTATTGTTTATTTTATTTTTGATGTTTTTAAATTCAGAGATGATAGTTAAGTCTTCTGGTTGGTTAAAGGTCACATTTCAAGGTCACATTTCAAGGTCACATTTCAAGGTCACATTTCAAGGTCACATTTCAAGGCCACATTTCAAGGTCACATTTCAAGGTCACATTTCAAATTATCAACTTTTGGACTAAGGTATGTTTGGGTCAATTCACATATATTGGTCTGTAGTATCTCGAGTTTCGAAATTTGCCAATCTTTCGCAGACACCCTGTATACAGGGTGTTTCAGTTTATTGTTGCATAACTTTAAGATTCAATAGAACTTTTAAAATTAATGCATAAAGTCTATATGAACATGGGTCGAAAAATGCGTGGCTTCCGAAATACAGGGTGTTTAAATTTACTTTTTAAAATAGTTTTTTTTAAATATTTCGAACAATATTTGATGTATAACAGTGAAAATTGTTATACAAGGGTTTTTTGGTACGACAAAACGAACCATGGGCATAGTTTTACTGTAGCCGCTAGAGGGCGCTCTCTACTGTACCTGTAGTGTATTAAAATGACCGAAAATTTTTTCTTAGAGCAATTTTTTGCTTTTTGAAGAAAAAACTGATTCTTTGACTGATTCTGCAAAAAAAGCTCTCCTGTGAGTTTTCGTTATAGTTAGCCGTTTTTGAGATATTTCGATTTTTAAAGTTCGATGCATTTTAATTATTTATGGGAAAATAATATTTCTTTTTACATTTTCGATTTGGGCATTACAAGTAATTAAGATGATCGTTTAGATTGTGTTTTTAAACACATCAATAATTCCTAACTCCAAATAAACACAAAAAACAGAATATTAATTTGTTTAATTTTCCAATATTATTTTTAACAAATTAAATCAATTATTTACAACTAAAATGCTAGCACAAACATACAAAATCTAAAGTAGTTGCTCGAAATGTAAACCCAATACACAATTCACATCTACGAATGATCGAACGTGGTATAGCATTATTCAAATAAGGCCTTATTTCATCACATGCATTCCTGATTCTGTCTATTAGCATATATCTTGTGGTTACGGGAGTCTGGTACACTTTTTCTTTTAGAAATCCCCACACAAATAAATCTAATGGATTTAGGTCAGGGGATCGTGGAGGCCAAGCTACTGGTCCTCCACGGCCGATCCATCTTTCTGGATAATTTTCGTCCAGCCAGTTTCTAACTATTCTCGAATAATGAGCTGGACAACCATCAGGCTGGAACCAGGCCAATCTTCTTAAATCTAACATAACATCATCCCACATATTTGCATGTTCAGCCTTTAAAAATTCCAAGAAGGTCGCAGCATTTAACCTTGCAGGCAAGAGGTAGGGTCCAAATAGTCGATTAGGGTAGAAACCAATCCACACGTTCACACTAAATTCATGCTGAAAATTTCTTTCCCGAACTGCATGCGGATTTTCATGCGACCAAATATGTTGATTATGAAAATTTACCACTCCACGTCTAGTGAAGCATGACTCATCGGTCCATAAAACGTTACTTAAAAACTCCCTATTATTATCAGTTCTATCAAGAATCCACTGACAAAATGTGATTCTTCGTTCTCCGTCCCCTGGCTCTGGTCCTTGCACGGGTTGCAAATGGTAAGGACGTCTATGGTCATTTCTAAGAACACGGTGAACATGGCTTGCTGAAATTCCCAAGGCACCAGAAACTCTCCTAACACTTGTGGTAGGATCTTTATCAAACTCACGCAGAATCATACGGGTAAATCTGCGCTGACGAACATTATGTTTTAATCCCTTTAGAGATTTCCAAAACCATTTTCAATTATTTGGCGATGCACTCTTACAGATACTGAGTTGGATGTCGTCTGTTTGGAAATCTTCGTGCGTATTCTCTGGCTGCTTCTGCTGCGTTTCCATTTACAAAGCCATACACAAAATGAATATCCACTATCTATTGATTGGAGAATAAAAATGGCATTTTTATAAAACTTACAAAAAAAAACAGGTAAAAGAAACTAAATTTCGTGCATTTACAATTGCAAAAAAACGTTTCAGGTTTCAACAGACAACAAAACTAACTGTCAACTAATTGACGTTTAACCTTATCTGCTTTCAATTTCAAAAATATTTGCAGGCACAGCCTACTTCTAAAAATTATCGAGATACTGACTTTTTAACGTTATTTTATCATAAATAATTAAAAATGCATAGAACCTTAAAAATCGAAATATCTCAAAAACGAAAACGAAAATTGACAAGAGAGCTTTTTTATGTTGAAAAGTGTGAGGAATAAGTTTTTTTATTCAAAAAGCAAAAAATTGCACTAAGAAAAAATTTTCGCTCATTTTAATACACCACAGGTACAGTAGAGAGCGCCCTCTAGTGGCTAAAGTAAAACTATGCCCATGGTTCGTTTTGTCGTACCAAAAAACCCTTGTATACCAATTATCACTGTTATACATCAAATATTGTTCGAAATATTTAAAAAAAACTATTTTAGAAAGTAAATTTAAACATCCTGTATTTCGGAAGCCACGCGTTTTTCGACCCATGTTTATATAGACTTTATGCATTAATTTTAAAAGTTCTATCGATTCTTAAAGTTATGCAACAATAAACTGAAACACCCAACTTTTCTCCGCAGGAAATGTTCACTTGTACTAGAGCCGACGAAGCTATCGACTGTCAAGAATCCCCAAGGTTCTATGAGCTGAACAGGAAGTTTGGAAGTCAAGAAGAAGACGTAGGAGAACAGCAAGAACAACAGGTCGAAGTCACGGAAGCCACGAACTACTTAGAGGAAGCCTCGCCCATACCAGAGGTTCCACAGATCATCGGAGGGAAATTCTACAGGAGATCTAGAACTCAACAATAAAAAGAGTTTTACGTTTGGTTTCATCTTTTCATATTAAATTCTTTTCATATTAAATTTAGATAAATCTGCCCCGACGGCATGTTGATGATCTCCTGTAGGGTTAAATGTAAGGGTAGCTTTGAATGTCGATATCATTGTTATAAAAATGCTTAGTCAAAGTGTGATGAAAAATTGTGCAACGTGCCGACGTAATCATACGTACTTATGGTTTCTGAATAGTCATTGTTCGTAGTAAGTACGTTGTCAATATTGACTCGTGACTCTATGGATATGCGATTCACCTTATTTTGATATGAGTGCTGACGTCACTGTATAGACTTATCATAATACCAAAGATAGTGCCGTTGCGAGGGCACAAGAATCTAAATTGTATGACTTGAATAAATTGATCTTTTTGTAACGTTATAAGTGTTTTCTTCTTTACGTGCTGATTGTACACAAGCTAACGAGATGAATGACGACAAGTAGGTTGAATGCTGTACCGGGTGGGTCGCCGGCTGTATCTCGGCTCAGCCTAGAGGTATCAGTAAAAAAAATGTATGACAAAAGTGGCCAAGAGTAAAGGTTGATTCTCACTATACATTCCGTTTCCTTTCCTTATCAGTTTCGTAAACGTTCCGTACAATGTGATTGTATACACAGTATACCTTACGGATAATGTGCATAGACACGCAAATAGCCTGATTTAAGCGAAGGCGAATATTTAATTTCAATAATTTACGGAATGGAAACGGAATGTATTAGTGAGAATCAACTTTAATGCTGGAAATTATTTCCAGCTTCCTAAAGAGGCCACTAGATGGCGAATATACGCAGTATCGTGTTGACCGCCCAGTTTCCGAACTTTTTTTGTTGATATCGTTTCAGGCGCGGATCCAGGGGAGGGATCATGGTGGTCATGACCCCCCCCCCTATTCGAATTTAGTTCGACCACCAATTTTTAAAGTTCCAAATCTCTTAGATAAATCTGTAATGCACACATAATAAATGGATACCCTAGTGGTATTTTCTAACGGGTGATTTTTTAAGAGGTATAAGATTTGATTTTAAAAATAAACACAAAAAATTTGAAAAAACGATTAAACCTTTATTTGAATCGATAGAACGGTCGATATAATTTAATGTTTAAAGATTATTTCATGTAATTGTTGGCCGCGGCTCCGCTTTAGATGGCCCATGCGCAAGGTCCAATTTTGGCACACTCTCTCCAACATATCGGCCGGTATCTCTCGAATAAATGCTTCAATATTAATAATAATAATAATAATAATAATAAAATGTCTTTATTAGGCACATTATATACACTACAACATAATGTGACCTCTACGTAGGCGAAGTCTAGCTCTTGGCTACTCTACTTAACCTACCCAAATACTAAATTGAAACACTCAATCAAAGGAAACTTTGACAAGCAAAAGACGCTTCAAAACAACGAGCTTGATAGCTTCCTAGCATACATATATACACACATATATTACGTAAAATAAAATAAAATGTAAGAATTAAAAACTAACTTTTCCACAATTACTACAATGACAAATAAATCTGTTTCACATGCTTACGAAATCTGTTTACTGGCCAATCCTTTATATTGTCATCTAATTCGTTATAAATCAGGATAGCATTGTAAGTGTATGAACTACGAAATAAAGTTGTTTTATACATAGGGATCTCTAGTCTTTTTTTGTGTCTGAAATCAATGTCTGAATTATTTCGTCTGAAAACAAATTTCTCATAAAGATACAAGGGGGATCTAGAAGATATGATCTTATGTGTAAACACTGCTATATGGTACTTGCAAGCATTTTCTATACACATCCAACCAAGCTGAAATCTCTTTAAGGAAACATGATCATACTTCTTGAGATTAAATACAAATCGACAACAAGTATTTTGGAGTTTTTGGAGTCTTGCTTTTGTGATAGAATCAAGACAATGATAGAACACAGTGCTACAGTAAAATAAGCTTGGAAATATAATAGCCTCACACAACTTTTTTCTAACTTTAAAATTCAAAATAGAGCGATTGACATAAAAACACTTTAACGTTGCATAACATTTTTTTAAGATAGACGAAACATGCTCCTTAAACCGTAAAGTATAATCAATAATCAACCCTAAATTTTTTGTAGTATTTACGACAGCTAGACGCCCCTTGTCAATTTTTACATCAAGAGAATACAATATAGTGTTACGTTTGACAGCAGGACAAAAAAGCATCACTGAGCTCTTATCCTTATTGAACTTAAGATTGTTACCATTTGAGTATCCTACTATTGCTTCCAAATCATCATCAAGCTCATTGATTGAAGTATGCAAAGTGTTACTATTAAAGCTATTATATATCTGTGTATCATCGGCATAGCACATCACAGAAGAGTTTTTCACAGAGCTACCCAAGTCTATAGTATAAATTAAGTACAACAAGGGCCCTAAAACTGAACCCTGAGGGACACCTGATGTTATATCAATCGGACTAGATATAGTGTTGTCTATCTCTACTACTTGTTTACGATTTGAAAGATATGTTATAAAAAACATTAGAGGTATGTCTGAAAAACCAAAAAACTTCAATTTAGCACATAAAAGCTCATGATCTATTTTATCGAACGCCTTAGAATAATCTAATGATACAAGTGCTGAAGCATCTCCCTTATCAAGCGAAGCAATGATGTCATCTAAAACCCTTGCTAAAGCTGAAGTTGTACTAAAACCACTGCGGAAACCAGATTGACACTTGGGAAAGAAATCATTATTAGAGAAATAATGATAAACCTGATGTTTAATCAATTTCTCCAATATCTTCGATATAACAGGAATCAAAGTTATAGGTCTTAAGTCTGAGAGACATTTTGGATTTTTACATTTAGGCAAGGGCTTGACAAGAGATAGTTTCTAAGCATCAGGGAAATACCCAGCCTCCAGGCAACAGTTCAATAAATGCGTCAGGGGTAGTAATACTCGAGGCAAGCAAAGCTTCAGCATTGAGACTGTTATACCATCCGAACCTGCTGCATTAGATTTTAGGGACAGAATAATGTCTAGCACATTTTGTGGGGTAGCAAAACTAAATTCAAATCTAGCACTTTCATTAATTTTGGTACTATTAAATTTATCAACTAGATCCTTGCAATTGTCCGAAGGCGTGAAAACGGAAGAAAAATAATTGTTTACTTCATCGGCATTCTTCAACTGTGTAGGTAAAGATCTATCTACATTAGTTTTGAGTTTCAATGAATGTACAGCTTTCCAGAGATGCTTGTTACTATTTAGTTGTTCATTGAAGCTTAGATATGCTGATTTCTCCCGCCTAATAGCGGAAATGACATCATTTCTTAATTTCTGGTAATATTCGAGACTAGCTGGACTTTTTAAAATCTGATATTTTCTAAAGGCTTTATTTCTCTCGGAGATCAAAAATTTTATGCCACCTGTGAGCCATGGAGCATAAGGTTTAGTAATACGTGATGAAACAACAGGAGCATGGACATCAAACAAATCCAAAATGTGATTAGAAAAAAACGTAGCTTTATCCTCTAAGTTACTGATGTAATATATATCGTCCCATGGGATTTTATACAAATCCACCAAAAACTGATCTTTACAACAGTGTTTAAAGTCTCTATATTTGACAGTCTTTTGAAAATTCTTAGGCCGTGTGATGTTGAAGTCACATCTGACTACATTATGATCTGACAAATTCGGAACAGGTACAGAGCTAGTTGAAATTAATGATTCAGCTAAGTTGTTTGTTGTACAAGTGACATCTATGGAGGTTGCCGTGGTTAAAGTTATCCTAGTTGGTTGGGTGATGTGAGATACCATATCGTAGCACGCAATGCAATCTAGAAAAGAATGGTCAGTAATTTGATCAACGTTTATATCACCCAGCAAGCATATTGACTTCCAGTGCGTCAATCGTTGCTTGTTTATCCCTGTAGACATTAGCCTTAACTTAGCCCCACAAGAAATAGTCCAACGGCGTTAAATCACACGATCTAGGCGGCCAATTGACGGGCCCCAAACGTGAGATAAACTGTTCACCGAACTCGCCTCTCAATAGGGCCATTGTTTCGTGTGCGGTGTGGCATGTGGCACAGTCTTGTTGAAACCACATGTCAGCCAAGTCCAGCTCTTCCATTTTGGGCAAAAAAAAGTTTGTTATCATCGCACGGTAGTGCTCGCCATTCACATTTACGTTCCGGCCATTGTCGTCTTTGAAGAAGTACGGCCCGATGATGCCACCGGCCCATAATCCACACCAAACAGTGATTTTTTTGGCCTGCATTGGTAGCTCTTGCAATGCTTCTGGCTGGTCTTCACCCCAGATGCGGCAATTTTGCTTGTTAACGTACCCATTCAACCAGAAATGAGCTTCGTCGCTGAACACAATTTTTCGATAAAAATGTGGATCTTCCTCCAACTTTGCCAGCGCCCATTCACCAAATTGGAAACGTTTGTGGGAGGTCGTGTGGCTTCAATTCTTGCACCAGCTGTATCTTATAAGGTTTTACACCCAAATTCTGTAGCAAAATTTTCCACGTAGTGGAGTAACCGAGGCCCAATTGCTGCGAACGGCGGCGAATCGACATTTCACGGTCATCACTAACACTGGCGGATACAGCCGCAATATTTTCTTCAGTCCTCACTCTACGTCTGCGTGTTGGTGGTTTAATGTCCAATAATGTAAACTGGGTTCGAAATTTAGTCACAAGCTTCCGAATAGCTCCCTCAGTAGGCCGACCAAGTTGCCCATACATGGAAGCAGTGCTCGATGCACTCTCTTAACCGAGCATGAATTTTGATAGTAAAATTCAATAATTTGCAAGCGTTGTTCGTTCATGGTTAAATTATAGACCAAACTGAACAAGTTTGACAATGACACAAGACACGATTCACGCGTCATCTGTCAAAAACAGTGTTGCCAAAAGTTGCTAGCAAAAAAATTACCCATTAATAACGGAGCTATCCACCGATCAGACACTAGCTGGCAATGCCAGACTTTTATATCGTCAAACTTGGCAACACCTCGATAAAATAAGCACAGGGTCATTGCAGCAGGCGGCAATCAGCTGGCGGTTTTGCTGGCAAGAGCACTCGATAAACGAGCACACGAGCGAGACGGATACCGCGTCCAGTGAATGTACGGGAAAAGGAAGGATCAGCAGTTATATTGTTCGGCCGGAAAAATTTCCGCGAATCTATAATATGCATCCTTGAATCGAGTTTAGCAGCACCAACATAAACCACGCATACATTTAGAGACATTGTGATTATACTTACGCGACACACGTCGGTGAGAGGGGAGAGACGCACGCTTTGTTTAGCTGATACGGGAAATACGCGATAGGCTTTTGTGCTTTGATGATTCGCGTTATTTTTTTTTGCCGAGGAACTGGGATTGCTGGGATAGAGTGACATCACTTTACCTACAACACAATTGTTCTAAACCATTAAAATATGTCATGAAATTATCAGGAATTTCAATAATTAGGGAGCTCCGACGGGTCCAACATGCGAACCGCCTCCGAGTCCATACTATACTATAACTGTCTAAAACTGTA